ACAAGTGGATAAAAATATTTGGAGAGAAAAACTTGCTATCACAGTTTGTTGAAAATCATGCATGAACATATTTATAAATAGTGCAAAGGGAGTGACAGATGGTTGGTGGAATTTAGGCATTCCTTGAATATGCAGTACAGGTACAACAATTTGGGAACATAAATGTTCGACGATTCTAATTTTTTGTTATTGTTGCACTCGGTAGTGTGTGGGACGTTGACGGGGAAAGCAGTGCTAGAGACGACTGCGTCGGGGTTGGTAATGTGTGGGGACGCCTGCTGTACTCCCAGTCCAGCTTTGATCATCAGTGTCGAATTTTCCCGGTTTTCTGCCCCTGGGACGTTTGTGCTCATCATAGACTGCCCGCTGCTGGGCAGTCCTAGGCACAGGGATGTTGACTCGGGTGAGGATTGCGAGTGTCTGGCTTTGCTGGGGTTTAGACAAGGGTAAACTTATTGTTCCCGCTTCTCTTTACAAAGGAAGACTTTCTTTCCTTTATATTTCCCGCCTAGATTTGGACAACACATTTTTCCCGCACTATCGGAAAGTAAGGCTAAAAAAAGACGTAACAATCCCAACAAGGGTAAGAAAATAAAAATGAAGGAACACTGTAGTAGGCCTATTGGCCCTTGCTAGGCAGGTCCAGTCACCCCCACCCATAAATCCGTCTAACCTATAAGTTACCCAAAGTTCTTACTTCAGTGACGCTATCTGGGATTTTGCTCCATTCATCTACATCTGTTTTACCAACCTAGTACTTTCCTATATCTTATCTAAATGTAAATTTGTCCAACCTGAATTTACTGCTGTGAGTTCTGTTCTGGTTAGATACTTTCAGTACGTTATTTATAGCCTTTTATTTTTTTCCTTTTTTTTTTTATTTGTACACTTCATTCATGTCCCCCACTGAAAGTGCAAATTCCATATCATCAGCCTATTAATCTTATTCTTAAGAAAGGTTTTCATACATGAGATCAACTTCGTCATCCTTATCGGTAAATTTTCCAGCTCGTTTATGTCTATTCTGTAAAATGGAGACAAGAATTAAGCACCGTAATCTAAACGCGGCCTTGACAAAGATAATAAAGTTGAAGCTTAACCTTAGGACTTTTGTTATTTAGGTCACTTCATATGAAACAAAGAATTATATTAGCTTTATTGTGAACATTTCAGCACTATTTTCTTTGAGCCATATTTCTGCTAGCCAGAACTACATCTTTTTTACATTCAGTTTGATTAAGACCTTGTACATTCAATATTGTTAGTAACCGGCTGTGGCACACAACACTTCTTTCACCTCCAAACCCCGGTGAGGCGGCTCATGATCCAAGAAATTGGACCTGACTTTCCCTTCTTTGGTTTAAACCTGATTGTCTCTCATTTCCCCAGGCGTTGAATGGCCCTTACGGATTTTGGGCTCCCTCGTGTATGTAAAAGTAGTAATAATCCACCCCGGATTTGTAACCATTATCAGCCTCTTCTCCAACATTAGTTCTAAATGACAAAACCGTCTATAACTATTCTGTCCTTTCGGCCCTAGTGCTCTATAAATTCTACTCTTACCCCTACCCTTATTTGGGAAATTCCTTAACTGCACACAGAAAAATTATTTATAAGAGTGCAAAATCCTGGATATAGCTAGATTTCATTACATCATAATTTTGAAATTTCACTAAGTTTTAGAGAGTATATGTATTTACTGATCCGAGGTCCCTTTCCTACCACATTAAAGTGACGTGACTTGATCTCATAAATATGGATAAATACGGATTCGTATGTAGCTTATTAGTCTGCTGAAGTCCTTTTCTCACTTTGAGACCGAAGTATAAAGTAATCGTTTTATTTTTTTCCATGTAACATATCCAGAATAATTTCATCAACCGTGGTAAATAAAAATTATATTTTATATACTCAGTGGGCTCAGGAATTGTGTTGGACTACGTGCGGCTAGCAGTAACAGCCTGGTTGATCAGGCCCTGATCTACCAGGAGACCTGGTCGTGGACCGGGCCGCGGGGGCGTTGATCCCCGGAATACCCTCCAGGTAGGTAGGTAAGTAGAAGAAGCCGGTCATTATTGAAGGCCTAGTACAACGTCTTGTCACATTTTTCAAACGCTCATTGGTGTCGGAATAAAGTGCTTGCCTGCCACTCTTCAGATGAAAGTTTGAGTCCATAAAGCATATTTTTTAAAACAATTTGTTATGGTTCCAATATCGAAAATATATGTTTACATTAAGCTTTGCTTTGAAATCTGAATACTGCTAAACTTCAGCTAGGTATCATTCTGCCTTAGTAACAGATACCGACGTTTCGGTCCTGATACCTTGATCAAATTCCCAGGACCGAAACATTTTCTAGTAAATTATGTCCTAGTGTTTGCTGGTGTGTTTTTCTAAAACAATCGTCCTGTTCAACCGGTCCTCTAAGTTGTCAGTTAAACGCTACCGATTTAAGATCTGTCGACTGCGCCCATTTTTACCTGCACAGTAAAGAACAGTTTAATCCCTAAAATAGGAATTAAAGTAAACTTATGCATTTGTATACACCGGCATTGGGCACTCTCATTTGAAGAGTCACCAATTCGAGAAATTCATCCTGCAAGCCGTCCAGAAGTGTACCTTGAACGATTCGTTGTGTTCAAGCGGCCCATCCTGAAATCTTTGCCATCTTTCAGTATGTTCAGTGCATGACTCAATATTGACAGGTCAGAACCGAAATAATGCATCACACTAAACTTGCAGCAAGAAAATAAATATAGCGTAATCAGCTTTGAGAGGAACCATCCCGAATTTTAACATGTGGGAAGGACAGTGGAGATGTGACGCCATCACGAGGGTAGTGGTGGTGGATACAGTTCTCAGGACTGACGCAACAAGTAGGTAGTCATATGACCTGATACTAATTTGATATAAATTCTCTTCGTTGTACATCTTAGCTGCTTATTAATCTCTGCTGATTTTAACTCATTAAATTATATAATTTATTAGTTACGCCCTACATGTTGTGGAGGAAGATCGAATTATTATTATTATTATTATTATTATTATTATTATTATTATTATTATTATTATTATTATTATCATATCCTCAAGAGAGGTGCCTTCATGGCAGTGAAGGACTCTTGATTGATGGACCTGGAACTATCCTCCCCAGATTGAGTCTGATTCCCCCAGGCACTGTATGACCCCTACGAATTTACCATTCTCAACGGATAAAATAATAATGTCCAATGCTGACAAGGGTAGAGCCGAAATAATGCATCACACCAAACTTGTAGTAAGAATTTTAACGTGTAGGTAGGACAGTGGAAACATTATTATTATTGGGCGCTATAAACTGATGTGAGGATACAATAAAGGTGAATATTCTAATTTATCTTGAGGGTGATAATAACCTCTCATTCTTTACTTTCAGTATGACCCTCTCGCTTCAAAGATTTACCCTTTTATCTCTCGAGACGGGCTGATAGTAAATCCTCACTCCAGGACACATGAGCCCACCACTGTCGTAAAACAATCACCAGAATTTATGCCATTTGACTCAGCACTTACATTTACACACAGGTACAGGTAGGTTTGCCAGGACGGATCCTGGTCCGAGTCTTCTCCATGCGGTGACCCAGCAGTGGCACCCCATAGGGGAAGTGTCTTAATGTACACACATACACTCACCTTTATGTCGTGTTGTAAGGGCCGAGTCTCAGTTTCTGGCCCTACTTCTCCGGATGTTAGCGAGTTCACTCTCACCTGACTTCGAGAGCTTTCTCGCACCTCTTAAAGCAATATATGGATCCTGCATCTATTGTCAAGTATTTGACATTATCGTGAGGTTTATCTCTCAAAAACAAATATACAAATTTACTGCCAGGGCACACCCGTATCAGTTAGTGAGGTAAGGGTCACAACAAATAACGGAATTTGTCTGTTCACTGACTGGCGCCATAAGACTTATCCAGGCCAAGCAGTCTGAGGCACCATATTAGTGATGCTTAATCCTGGTTGGGCATAAGTAGTGGCTAAGATAATGTTAGATTAGATAAACTAAGATTTTGTTTGTATGTTTAACCTACAAGGTTAGTTCATATTCCGCTTGTATCTGTGAAATATTTTATGTACAGATAAAATGCAGTTTTAATGGCTCAGCAACCTATAGGCCTTCAGTCACGAGGGTTCTCCTCACAACAGAAAGGACATTGTCTCATTTCCTGGATGAGACGTCCATGTTTACAAAGCCAATAGATATATAGGAGCAAGTCAGCTGTTGTCGATCTCATCCTAGGGAAGAGGACTTGAAGGACTCCAACGTAAAATAAACTACACATCTGTGCATTCTTGGGGCCATCGAACATTAACTCTCAGGGGTTATTTTGAATAGTCTTCTTCAGCCCAAGGGCGAGGTCAAGTACGCACGCGGTCACTCGTCCGGCTACTGACTTATTATAGTAGCACTCGTCATCAACAGCGCCACAGCAGTTAAGGTAAACATTATTTCATGCATTAAGAGTATGAATAAGAAACGTAAATACATGCATATGATTCAGATGCTTTGTTCAAAAAGAAACAGACGGGCGCAACTCGCACACGTAGTTGGTCAAACAGCTTGTGGTGTTTAAATGAATATAAATACAATTTTAAGTAAAATATAGATGATGAATACCATTTTTAGTGATAAGAAATTAAGAGCAAATTGTTCCTTGTCCTTTCAGTTATATATTAAAGTTCCAACGTTGAGCCCTGAGTACGACAACATCAAAGTACAACAATACTTAATGTCAGCGTATGATCACTGTCATTACTGGCACTGCGCGTAAGAAACTAGTCCGCATTTTATTTCAGTTTGTTTAGTGAGCACGATACATAGTCTACGCAATATAAATTAGAGTATATATTGACTACCGAATAATGAACGTATAAAAAATGGAAGTATTGTAGTTAATGGTGGTGAGAAAAGCGACGCAGGCGTCATCCCTGACACCACTAGACTTATAATGGCGGCTGGTGGTGGTAGCTGCTTCAGTCTCCCGTGAGCGATGGCAGTGAGGACTTACTCAGTCGTCTCGAGAGAGCGATAGATCTCTGTGGCTCCTTTATTAATCATTCTTCAAAGAACATTAATTAACACGTGTTATATGCAACTCCATATTACAAGATATAACAGTTCACATATACTAAAAGTGTCATCGCCGTAAGAAAAATTTTATTGAGGCTTTACAATTCATGATTATCAAGATATTTTCTGTGACGGATTATTCTTGAATATATGAAGTGCTGAAGGTAATAAGTTTTAACACGAGTGTTTACTATTCGCCAAGTGCTAGAAAATATTAACGCAATTTATTAAGTGTGAGGAACATAAGTTTATCTATTTATAGTGCTGTAGTTATTCTGTTTTACACCCAGTGAGGCTTACATTGTTCTATAACTTATTGACAAAGCGTATTTTACGTGGTGTGAGCAGCGTCAGAGTGCCAGACACGGGTCGGGTGCCATGTGGTGTCAAGATACTATATATATTACTAATATTATATATATATATATATATGTTATATATAATATATCATTACCTTGTGGCTCTATAGAGTTCATCCTCGCGCTCTTGGCCCACTATTTGGTGAGCTCGGCTTGTTCAAGGCGATTGTTCCTGACATACTTGACAAGGTCATGTGGCCTGTGATGGACCACCTGTCTTCATGAACCACCTTCCGTGGTGCACTGTGGTGGACCGCCTTCCCTAGTGGGCTGTGATGGACCACCTTCCCTAGTGCCGTAATGGGCTGTGATGGACCCCCTTCCCTTGTGGGCTGTGGTGAATCGCCTCCCTTCATGAACCAGATTCCCTTGTGGGCTGTGGTGGACCATCTTCCCTGGTGGACTGTGGTGAATCACCTCCCTTCATGAACCAGATTCCCTAGTGGGCTGTGGTGGACCATCTTCCCTGGTGGGCTGTGGTGAATCGCCTCCCTTCATGAACCACCTTCCCTGGTGGGCTGTGATGGACCACCTTTCCTGGTGGGCTGTGATGGACCACCTTTCCTGGTGGGCTGTGATGGACCACCTTTCCTGGTGGGCTGTGATGGACCACCTTTCCTGGTGGGCTGTGATGGACCACCTTTCCTGGTGGGCTGTGATGGACCACCTTTCCTGGTGGGCTGTGATGGACCACCTTTCCTGGTGGGCTGTGATGGACCACCTTTCCTGGTGGGCTGTGATGGACCACCTTTCCTGGTGGGCTGTGATGGACCACCTTTCCTGGTGGGCTGTGATGGACCACCTTTCCTGGTGGGCTGTGATGGACCACCTTTCCTGGTGGGCTGTGATGGACCACCTTTCCTGGTGGGCTGTGATGGACCACCTTTCCTGGTGGGCTGTGATGGACCACCTTTCCTGGTGGGCTGTGATGGACCACCTTTCCTGGTGGGCTGTGATGGACCACCTTTCCTGGTGGGCTGTGATGGACCACCTTTCCTGGTGGGCTGTGATGGACCACCTTTCCTGGTGGGCTGTGATGGACCACCTTTCCTGGTGGGCTGTGATGGACCACCTTTCCTGGTGGGCTGTGATGGACCACCTTTCCTGGTGGGCTGTGATGGACCACACTCCCTGGTGGGCTGTGATGGACCACACTCCTGGTGGGCTGTGATGGACCACACTCCTGGTGGGCTGTGATGGACCACACTCCTGGTGGGCTGTGATGGACCACCTCCTGGTGGGCTGTGATGGACCACACTCCCTGGTGGGCTGTGATGGACCACACTCCCTGGTGGGCTGTGATGGACCACACTCCCTGGTGGGCTGTGATGGACCACACTCCCTGGTGGACCACTACGTCTTGTTCTAGATGCTACGTTATTAATAATGGAGGTTTAGAAAAAACACTTAGTGTGATGTTATGGTGTTCGTGTTTTGACGTACTGGCATTGTAAAAGTGGCATTATAATGGAGACATTGTAGTGAAGCATTGTGGCAGACTTTGTATTAATTGCGTTGTAGAGGTAGTGTTATGATGGTGACTTAATGGCGTTGCAATAGTGGCGTTGCGGTGACTATTAGTGGCGATATTTCAGTGGCTATTGGCGTTGTTTAGATGAATTTGTATTTCTGGCTTTACAGAAATGGCGTTGTATTGGTACGTTATGGTGGTCATATTACTAGTGGCGTTGTACTGGTGGTGTTTCACAAGCTGTGTCCTTAATGTCGCAAACTGGTCGGAAGAAGTTCTGAGCACCATATGGAAACGCCACTGCATTATTCTTATGATAATCTAGATATCACAGCTCATTTCAAGTTTCTCAGTGGTTTACTCCTGCCACGTACGGTAAATTATGAAGTGTGTATTGTTATTCATTGAAGAATGAAACTTGCATCTTGGTGCAATGTCGTAAATAATGTTTGAGTCAGTGCGTGTTGGCATGTAGGCATTTACGAAACATTTTTTTTTTATCTTCATGAGATTGGTGCCTAATGTGAAGAAGTCCATATTTTCCATGTTTTATATGAAGTTTAAATTCATGCGCTTCATTTTGTTCAGAGAATGTTTTAAAAGCAGTAGATGGCAACTGGGTTCGTGTTGCCTAATGAATGAGCACATTTTGTGTGAAGATGCATGATGTTTCGTGTTTAAAAATAATTCTTTGTATTAAAAAGGATGGTTTTTAATTAATTACTTTCGATATTGTAAGTCACAATAAGTGTATTGGAAATAATAAAAGGAACTCAATGGAAATAAGTCACTTTACCTTTTTTGAGCTATAATAGGTAATTTTACACATACGTTACAAGGTATGATATTTGTACTTGCGTGTACTTGTACCTAAAGAAACATGTTTTCCCGTTACACCCTTTTTCAATAACTTTAGTATTTTTCTCATGAGTCAATTGTTTTGTGCAACTCTCATCATCTTAACACCAATTTTTTTTGTTTTAATAATCTGCTATTTGGCTTCAGCTCTGAAAAACTATCTTCGACAAAAAAAAAAAAGGTAGTGTTCTCAGCGACGGATTGTTAAACTTTCTTGTGAACTAGCTATACTCCTGACCTTATTCGTACATGTTGGGTGTTCTCTTATCATTCAATATATAAATGGCACAAAAAGTAAATTTGTACCTCACGGTGGTTGTATACAAGGTTGAGTGCAAAGATGTTGGCAAAGGTCGTATTCTTCCCCTCCCATCCTCTGCCGCATGAATCGAGCTTATCCGCCAGGCGTCATTACCACAGGCTTTAGTGATCATTTCATCATTTACTGCACCAGGAAAATCACTAGGGAACGGATAGATCTACACAGGACAATAAAAATGAGGTCAGCTAGAAACTACAGTAAAGAAACACTAGTAAATAGGCTGCACAATTATGACTGGACAATGATAACAAGTTGCACGGACCGTAAATGATACCTGGGAAAATTAAAAAAAAAAATATTCAGTCATCCTTGATAATATTGTACCAGTTAAAGACGTTAGGATTAAACGGAGAACCGAACCCTGAATGAATACTGAGATTTTAGTTAATATGAAATTCAGAGACCAGTTGCTAAAAAAAGATTTAAGGCAGACAGGATATTGCAGCGCTAAATGAATTTCAAAGGGTGAGGAACAGAGTGCAGAGGCTTGTAAAAGGAACAAAGGCAAGGTACTATTGCTCAAAAATCGAAGAGTATAAGAATAACCCCAGAAAGCTCTGGCAACAACTAAAAAGGTTAGGGTAGAGCCATAAACCCGTATATAGATCTAACATAGTATTAAATATCGATAACGAGGTATGCCACGAAACAAAGTGGCAAATTGTTTTAATTCATACTAACAACTGTCGAATCAACACTAGTAAGTAAACTACCGGCTGCATCAAATACCTTTAACACAGATTCTGGTAAGTTTAAAACATACTATACCAATAAAGGGGTAGCTCCAAACAGTTGTCATCTAGTAAGGGTATCTCATGACTTCGTGCAAAAAGAAACAAGCAGGTTAAACCCAACTAAGAGCACCGGCCCAGATAACAACCCGTCTAAGTTTCTAAAAGATGGTTCCTCTGGACTGACAATCCCCATTGCTCACATAATAAATTTGTCCATCACCACTAATACCGTCCCGGAGGGATTCAAGGAGGCCAGAGTTACAACCATCTTCAAGAAAAATAATAGGTCTGATGTCAGGAAGTATAGGCCTGTTAGTATACTCCAGTGTAATATCCAAAATTCTCGAGAGGGCGGTATACTGTCAGGTAGTTAAGTATCTTAATGTCAACAACATTTTCCATAGTTACCAATCAGGCTTTAGGAATCTTCTCAACCGACACCTCCCTAATTAGTCTGGTGGATTACATGAGAACTGAAATGTTGATAGGGAACCTCATAGGAATGGTAACCTTAGACTTGCAAAAGGCCTTCGATACTGTCAACCACAACATATTACGTAAGAAACTTCAAGCTATCGGCATAGGTTCCATAGACTGGTATAAGTCCTATCTTAGCAACAGAAAACAAATTGTCAAAATCAACAAAACAGAATCAGAACCCTTGCCGATAGTATGTGGAGTTCCCCAAGGTAGTATTCTGGGTCCCTTATTATTAACGACATGCCCATCACTGTCAAGTACAAACTCCTACTGTATGCGGATGACAGTGTTCTGTTAGTGTCAGGTAAAGACCCACAAGATATAGCTAATGTAATAACACTGGAACTGGAATCCTGCAGCAAATGGTTAGTAGACAACAAACTATCGTTACACCTCGGGAAAACGGAAGCCATACTCTGGCACGAAACATGAACTGAGAAGGGTAAATAATTTTAATGTCCGGTGTAATGGGGAACCCATCACTTTAGTTTCCTCAGTAAAATATCTGGGAATCCCATTTGACCCATGCATGTCAGGAGAATCTATAGGGAACAGTGTAGTAAAGAAAGAGAATGCCAGACTAAGTTCCTCTACAGGCAAGCAGTGTCTATGTACTGAGGCTCGCAGGATCCGATGTTAGCCCTTGTACAGTGTCGTATGGACTACGCTTGCTCTTCATGGTACTCTGCCTTGACAAAAAAAAACTGAAAGATAGACTGCAAATCACCCAGAACAAAATGGTAAGATTAATCTTGGACCTGGGTCCAAGAGAGCATGTAGGCCAGGATGAATTACAACAATTGGATATGCTGAATGTTGAAGACGGTAAAACAACTGAAGTTAAATCATGTTTATAAAATTGCTCAGTGTCCAGAATATCTTGCTGCCAATTTTGTCAAGGCTGAGAACCAAAGCAATCATAGTACTAGGGGGGAGAGAGCACAACTTTGTAGTACCCACAGTCAGTGGCCAGGCTTCAAGCACCTATTATCGGACAGCAATAAAGGAATGTAACAGACTGCCTGCACATGTCAAAGCCAGTCATAGCATGAATCCAATTCAAGAAGAGCCAAAAGGTGCCTAATGATTGTAACGACATTTCGAAAGGGAGAAGAATGATTTTTATTTTTTTTAGCTAACACACGTGTCAATATAAATAACTCATTTTACCTTATTCCTAGTATATCTCCTTTTTAGTATAATAGATATTATTTCCTTTATAGTATGGTATTAAAAGGACCCCCAATGGAAATAAGTCGCTTGACTTTTTTGGGTTATCCTGGGTTCTCTACACATATGCTGCTATGTATGATCTATCTATGTAACTGTATTTGTGTATACCTGAATAAACTTACTTTAGTTATTGTTGAGTCGCGTACAGGGACTTTTTATTTTTTAAGATTCTTTGCTGGTGGTAACAACATTCCCAAAAAGTGGAAGCACAACGTAGGAAATGTGATTATGCTAAAAAAAAAAAAAGATATCGTACAGCGCAAATCCCAGTAAATTAAACATCCTGTGTATTTCTTAATAATTCTTATTCCTTTAATATTGAAGCAGCGCTGTCTGACCTATACGGCCTTTTTTTTTTTTTGTAATATAATTTAGGAAGTCTGGTCTGAAACCGGGTCGCCGGGGCGTTGGCTATCGGAACCATTAACATTTTAAACTTTTTAATTTTATTTGTATTATAATACCGTTATTAATTAAAATTATTGCATCGCACTGAGTATCGCAGTAATATTTTATAGGTATGAATGAAGTGGTGAAGATGCAGTGAGTGCAAAACTTATCACACCGGTGCTTCTCTTCCACAGGTGCGGCAGCGTCTACGTCGGGTATTGTAGTGCAACACAAGTGTAGTGTAGTGTTGAGTGCAGTGTACAGTGATCAGTGATGATGAATGAAGTTCAGGAATATGCACGTCATGGGCCCCGCCTACCACCCCTCTTGGCCAGACATAAGGCGTTGCCCGACCTCTGTCCTGCCGTAGAAACTAACACTGCCCACACTACTCAAAAAGATGAGGTGGGCCCTCCCGTACCCTCAGTTGTGGTGAGGGGCGGGACGGGTACTACCACAGGTGGGGCACTGTCGCCCACGGCAACTCCTGGGGCAGCGCCCACCTTCCCCGCCGTACCCACTCTGGTGGGGGGCAAATATTTGCTCACCCGCCCTGTAGACCACTCCGCCTGCCACGCCACACATATCCACACCCACCAGAGCCTACTAGTCAAGGTGAGACGCACACTAACCTGCTGCATGTGTCACCCCAAATCATCACTGTTAAACCCTAATCCCTGTATCGAGAGGTATTGCTTTTTTTTTTTCCTGTTGTAAGTACGTTTACGAAATTCTTTCATTTTTCCCACTACTATAATCATTTAATTAAATCCTCCCATATTTAGTGAGATACTGTTTGACTTTTGAGTTACCCTAGCATCTAGGTTAAAACTTTATAATGTGGCATTCTACATGCCTAAAACACCTACGTATCCTGGGAACCATTCTACAAATTTATACTATGTAAAATATTTGTAGATTTCCCCAAGTGACTTATTATTTATTCATCTGTTACATGTAACAGAAGTTAGAACTATAATTAACGAATATGAATGGATGTAGTAAACATGATAATAAGGAAGAACTGGTACAAAAATATGCTATAAAAGCAGGTTTCCCACATCACTAATATTAGTAAATCGGACTTTTAACGTCTCTGAAAACCATCTGCAATATTTGAAATCTACACTTGATGATCCATATGAGGAGTTTTTTAATATTAATCCACCAGTAATAGAGTATTTCCACTGGAAAACTAAGGAAATGTTAAAATTACTCCAGTGTATACTATTCTCCTTATTAAAATGACAAAATAAATTATTGACGTTAGTACAGTGTAAATGTCCAATAGTATACCTATTAGTTCAGCCTTGCTCCACTTAGTATATTCTACTCCAATTGGCTCTTTACTATCATTCACAAAAGTTATATTTTTCCCTACTTGTGCAGTCGTGTAGTCCTTATGTTATCTATTGTATTTGCAAGTAGTGATGATTTATCACATTGCATTTAGAGGAAGCACTAAATCCATAGGGTTTATATATAGTATCTGGGGAATAGGCAATCAGGCTTGATCCTTAGATTACCAACAGTTGCTTCTGGAGGTTACCGTCCCCGTTGCCCGGTCTCAGACCAGGCCTCCTGGTTGCTAGCTTAATCAGTTAGGCTGTGGGAGAACAAGTCCCATTCCTTGGACCAAGACCCTCCTCACCAGCATCAGTGACTTCCATCCCTCATGAGGGGCCGTGATGATTCAGGTTTAGGTAAGAGGTAGTACTATGCTGTCCACAGTAAAAGACTTCGACCAGATTCGTCGGTTGCTGGATATCATTTTTATTTTAATGATTTTCCGCAGAAGGGTGAGTTTATTGGAAAGTGCCACTAATGTGATTTGAACATACAGTACATTATTTGGAAGCCCCAACATTATGGCGTCGAGCTGCCTATCCACTCTGGCGTATCGCAAGTGCCTTTCCTTATACCGTCATGTTGCGTCACAAGCTGAGGTAATAATGATAACAGTAGATAAACCTGGGGAAAGTGCACCTAGCTGCCTGGACCCCATCGGATCAGGAGGGAAGACCCTGTGCGAGGGTAGTGGCTCCTCTTTTTTTTTTTTTTTTTTTTTTTTTTTTTTTAGGCTGCTCACAGCACAGCTACTCTAAGGTTTATTTGATTAACATCTAATGGAATAGTGCTCTATAGTAGGAATATGTACCTGCTTTTGGACTACTAAGTTTCATACTGGTAACATAAATTTTTTTCTTAAGTTTTAGCAGTTTGTTAGGTGGAAACTGTTGAGGGGCCGCATTTTCCTGGTACGCTAACATGTATAAGAAGTAATACAGTACCTTAAAACCGCATATACAACGAGATGTATACACCTATATGTATATAACTTGCTGATTTATTTAATATATCTTCTGAAATGTGACAAAACTTGTGTGACTCGCCCGTAAACATTATTTATAATTGTGACATGTCTTGACAGGGTAGTAAGTTGCTGGTTTGATTTGATACTTAATTATATCAGTGTTACACCAATATTGAAAAAAAAATGTAGTATTATATGCATAAGACATTAAATATAATACTGGACTTCAAGGTTGGTCATTTAATTATAGTGCCAGAATAAAAAAGTATCAGTTATTAACCAAAAGACATCTTAGTACATACATGGACTAGAGATAAAGATGTGACTGGGAAAAATTGGGTTGTAGTTTGCGCCACGAAATGGCAGTGGATTAGGAAAATAAAAAGGGATAATACTTCGTTTTATGGCTATCAAGAAACGGTATACTGTGTATGAAAAGATTTTATTTAATATATAACATTTCTCTTGAGTATACTACAGTACACGAAACGAAAACTTAAAATATAGGAAATTTTATATGCGCTGTCTCCTAATATTAGCGTACATGAAGGGTGCCTTGATGGCGAAGGGCTCATGATCCAAGGAATTGGAGTTACCCTTCCCTGAGGTGAGTAATTTTAACTTGGCATAATAATTATTAGTGATATATATTTCGTTCACGATGTTTTTTTTGTTACAAAAACTTCGTTTTAATTTTTATTCCTAAGAAGGCTGAGTGATCTCCCAGCTCAAAGTACTGTTCAGATCTCGTAGTTAACTTCCTTCCCTACCCTTCGGATCAAACCTGATTGCCCCCTCCCCCGACTCTTGTGGGTTTAGCGCTTAGTTATGATTGTAATTCCCCCCCCCCCCCTCTATTTCCGAAGCGGAGTGGCCGCTGTGGCTTCAACTTTTTTTTATTTAGTTTACGTGCGTAAATTTGCTTAAAGGCTTTTTTTGATGCCTGCACGAGTAGTGATGTTTCAGCTTTTATCTAATTAGAACATGTAGACTAGTCTTAAATACTGAACATTGTGGCTGGTGGATGATACTGGTTTATTCGTTAGGGGAAATCATGTGACATGGGTCCTTGTCAAAAACTTCCCCATTCAATATTGCCGACCATTTTTGCGAAGCAACAGCAATATGGCAGTGTCTTACACACGTAACCAATCATCTTCGTTCTGTTTAAAATTTCCAGTAATCTATCCTGCGTGATAGGATATGACAGGGAAACATATCTGGCTTCAGTTAACTTTTAGATAGAATATGGTTGCCGCACACTGCGGGTGTACCTAATTTTGATTAAAGAAAATTTCAAGTGGGAGTATCGTTGGCCGAGTGGAGTAATGGCCACGGCAGCAATGACCTCTGGTTTACTTATGTTGGACTGTGTGAGACCAGTAACAGTTGCTAAGGCCTCTCTGACCTGCCAGTGCGAACGCTTCATCACAGCGATAACGATAAGAAGGCCAGCAGGTTGATAAAGGAGCTGTGTGGGTGAGGGAGCTGGAGTTGTGGGACCATGTTAAGTGCCACCCACCGAGTCCTACAGACCTAAGATTTGATTTAGGTCTAATTTAAATTGTAGAAAAGAATTATTCATGCTGTATGTAACAACCGTTAGGGTAGGTTATAAGACAAACCAATAACGTTAGTTTGTTCGATTTTAAAATCATTACGGTCGCGTTTCACCTGTGCCAGCATAAAGAATAATTTAATCCCTAAAACGGAATAAACCCCAAGAGATGTACCTTTATGCAGGAAGAGCCGCTGGTCATTGAGCGTCCTCTACAATTGGTACACTAAATGACTGGTATCCTAACCTAGCCCTCATTCATTCACTAAACGCATGGTGTACGTTGTGTCTACATCTATGCCTTTTATCCTGCCTAATCAGTGTATGACAAACCTGCACAGCCTAATTTTGAAGTTTGTAAACATGATCAACACTGGGTTTTATAGTAAACTTTTGGATTGGTATTAAATGTAGTCATTATAACATTGGCGGAGTAAATGCTTAAAATATTCATTCATAGGCTAAAACGTAAATATGGGACGAGTGGCACACTCCAGTACGCTTGCATCTGGGCCAAAATAAAAAAGAAATTAGGCTCCATGATTTTTTTTTTAAAGTTCATAGCCTATTGACTGGTTTATTACCTCGTAATATGTTAAGCAATCTTTTAATAAGTTGAAATTAATTATTAAAGACATACCAAACAGGTGATGAGGGTATCAAATGATTTACCTGGAGGTTACCTGGAGGTTATTCCGGGGATCAACGCCCCCGCGGCCCGGCCCACGACCAGGCCTCCCGATGGATCAGGGCCTGATCAACTAGGCTGTTACTGCTGGCCGCACGCAGTCCGACGTACGAGCCACAGCCCGGCTGATCCGGCACTGACTTTAGGTATCTGTCCAGCTCTCTCTTGAAGGCAGCCAGGGGTTTATTGGCAATTCCCCTAATGCTTGATGGGAGGCTGTTGAACAGTTTTGGGCCCCGGACACTTATGGTGTTTTCTCTTAGTGTACCAATGGCGCCCCTACTTTTTATTGGCGGCATTTTGCATCGCCTGCCCAGTCTTACTTTCGTAGGGAGTGATTTCTGTGTGCAGATTTGGGACCATTCCTTCCAAGATTTTCCAAGTGTAGATTATGATATATCTCTCCCTCCTGCGTTCCAACGAGTACAAGTCAAGTGCTTTCAAGCGTTCCCAGTAGTTAAAGGTGCTTGACAGAACTTATACGTGCAGTAAAGGATCTCTGTACACTCTCTAGATCTGCGATTTCACCTGCTTTGTATGGAGATGTTAATGTACAGCAGTATTCCAGCCTAGAGAGAACAAGTGATTTGAAAAGGATCATCATGGGCTTGGCATCTCTCGTTTTGAAAGTTCTCATTATCCATCCTATCATTTTCTTTGCACGTGCGATCGTGGCAATTGGATATCAAATTGGGGAGGAGTATGGAAGAAGTGAATGTTTTCAGATACTTGGGAGTTGACGTGTCGGCGGATGGATTTATGAAGGATGAGGTTAATCATAGAATTGATGAGGGGAAAAAAGGTGAGTGGTGCGTTGAGGTATATGTGGAGTCAAAAAACGTTATCAGTGGAGGCAAAGAAGGGAATGTATGAAAGTATAGTGGTACCAACACTCTTATATGGATGTGAAGCTTGGGTGGTAAGTGCAGCAGCGAGGAGACGGTTAGAGGCAGTGATGTCCTGTCTAAGGGCAATGTGTGGTGTAAATATTATGCAGAAAATTCGGAGTGTGGAAATTAGGAGAAGGTGTGGAGTTAATAAAAGTATTAGTCAGAGGACAGAAGAGGGGTTGTTGAGGTGGTTTGGTCATTTAGAGAGAATGGATCAAAGTAGAATGACATGGAAAGCATACAAATCTATAGGGGAAGGAAGGAGGGGTAGGGGTCGTCCTCGAAAGGGTTGGAAAGAGGGGGTAAAGGAGGTTTTGTGGGCTAGGGGCTTGGATTTCCAGAAAGCGTGCATGAGCGTGTTAGATAGGAGTGAATGGAGGCGAATGATACTTGGGACCTGACGATCTGTTGGAGTGTGAGCAGGGTAATATTTAGTGAAGGGATTCAGGGAAACCGGTTATGTTCATATAGTCGGACTCAGTCCTGGAAATGGGAAGTACAATGCCTGCACTTTAAAGGAGGGGTTTGGGATATTGGCAGTTTGGAGGGATATGTTGTGTATCTTTATACGTATATGCTTCTAAGCTGTTGTATTCTGAGCACCTCTGCAAAAGCAGTGATAATGTGTGAGTTACCTGGAGGTTATTCCGGGGATCAACGCCCCCGCGGCCCGGTCCATGACCAGGCGTCCCGATGGATCAGGGCCTGATCAACTAGGCTGTTACTGCTGGCCGCACGCAGTCCAACGTACGAGCCACAGCCCGGCTGATCCGGCACTGACTTTAGGTATCTGTCCAGCTCTCTCTTGAAGGCAGCCAGGGGTTTATTGGCAATTCCCCTAATGCTTGATGGGAGGCTGTTGAACAGTTTTGGGCCCCGGACACTTATGGTGTTTTCTCTTAGTGTACCAATGGCGCCCCTACTTTTTATTGGCGGCATTTTGCATCGCCTGCCCAGTCTTTTACTTTCGTAGGGAGTGATTTCTGTGTGCAGATTTGGGACCATTCCTTCCAAGATTTTCCAAGTGTAGATTATGATATATATCTCCCTCCTGCGTTCCAACGAGTACAAGTCAAGTGCTTCCAAGCGTTCCCAGTAGTTAAGGTGCTTGACAGAACTTATACGTGCAGTAAAGGATCTCTGTACACTCTCTAGATCTGCGATTTCACCTGCTTTGAATGGAGATGTTAATGTGCAGCAGTATTCCAGCCTAGAGAGAACAAGTGATTTGAAAAGGATCATCATGGGCTTGGCATCTCTCGTTTTGAAAGTTCTCATTATCCATCCTATCATTTTCTTTGCACGTGCGATCGTGGCACTGTTGTGATCCTTGAAAGTGAGATCCTCAGACATTACTACTCCCAGGTCCCTTACATTATTTTTCCGCTCTATTGTATGGCCGGAGTCAGTAGTATACTGTTCTAGTTATTATCTCCTCCAGTTTTCCATAACGGAGTAGTTGGAATTTGTCCTCATTGAACATCATATTGTTTACCGTTGCCCACTGGAAAACTTTGTTTATATCTTCTTGGAGGTTAACCACGTCCTCAGCAGATGACAGCCTCATGCAGATCCTAGTATCATCCGCAAAGGATGAGTGTGGTGAAAGTGTTGAATGATGATGAAAGTATTTTCTTTTTGGGGATTTTCTTTCTTTTTTGGGTCACCCTGCCTCGGTGGGAGACGACCGACTTGTTGAAAAAAAAAATACCAAACTGCACAGTACGTACTTAACTTTTTTTTTTTTTTGCCATTCATACGCGTTTGGGTATTCATTGTCCCCGCCTATCACCATGGGGGTAAAGAGGCATGATCCCAACAATCCAATCACTTGAAACCTAGCGCAACTCATAATAACGTTCACCAATCCTATGCACCAATCCTCGGGCATATATCGGCCTCATGCTGCCAGTAGTGAAGAGGTCCTTCGGTGTCAGGTCGAAATATTCCCACTTTGTTTCGGCCTCGCACAGAAACAGGAATGTGCATTTTTTTTTATCTTATGGGCTTGTTCCAATGCTTAGTATTTATTACTCCTGAGTTTAAAATGGTAGGCGGGGGAAAAAATACTCAAATAGCTCCGGGAGAAGTTTTTCCCCTGAAGTACGTTTCTTCTCTTCTCTTGGCCCCTGTAGCATCAGTCTCTGTCCACCCAGACGGTGCATCGAAATATTTTGTATGTTGCAATCGTACATCTTGTGCATTCCTTCAATATCGACACTTTTTAGTTCCTATAGTTATAACCCGTAGCTCTTGCCACTCGACTCTGGTACAAGGTAGGCGGCGAACATTGTGGTTGGCTAAGTTAGGATTCCACACTGGCATTGCATGCTTAATTAATGATTGGGCTTGCTTAAGTGGTGTATTGCATTTTGAATGATTATTTAATTCCTGATGGGAGATAGATTATTATGTTTGCTAGCCTTGAATATTCTTTTAAGGGAATTAATTCCTTTACCTGTCAGAGGAATATGAGCCACCCTCTACTTCTAAACAAAACCTGATTGACACCCACCCTCCCTTTCTCCAGATGCCGTATCCTTAAGGGTTTACCACTCTCCCGTGAATATGCAGGATTAATAGTCTTGCATACTCAGCTGATTTTGTGCGCATTACAGATTTGGTGCGACGTTTCATTCTCTTGCCATGTGCCCTAATCCGCAACTTGTCAATTTTTCATACAGTCATCCTCGGTATCTTGTTCATCTACGAACTTTGAAATGATGAAATAGATTCCGTATCACTAGGTATTTAATTTAGTATTTTTAACACGTTTTGAATTTTACAGGCCAAGAGCCGTTATCCTACCTTGGCTTGTTTCAAATCCTAGTTCATCTCTCGCACAGGATGCTACCTACAATAATCTGCTAACATCCATGTACATATTTACTGCTAGGTAAGCAAGAGCAATAGGTAGACTCAAAGTGTATGGAGACATGGCCCTCATTTCGTCGTTCGGGATTTAAGCCCAAATCCTCCGGCTATGAGCCGAGGAGGATGGGATACCACTGAGCTACAAATCGTCTAATATTGCTGTCTTCTTACATTACATTTTTGTGGGAGATAGACTATCCTGAGAGATGGTAATTCCTATGTAGTAGTAACTTCATTACTTCTGTAACGAAAGCTTTAAAGCTCATCTCCCTACTAAAGTCTGCCCACTCAAACTGGAAATTTTTTTATTACCTCGTGTGTATGTCATGTGTGACGGTATAAGACTAGTAAGCATAACTAGCCATTGTTCCCACAGTATAACTTGTACACTCATATATGGGGTGGACGCAGTGTGAATGCATGTTTGTTTATACAAGGGGAAATGTGCGTGATACGAGGGATTTTTAGAAGATTAATTTTTACACTCGCCAATCTTTAATCTTCATTTCCCACCGTATCAGTCTTATAATTGGGGTTTTACTTTATTCACAATCTATATCGTTATCCATGATAGTATTTTCCTCTCAGCCTGGTCTGTCTCCAGCCCTGTGTGTATGGAGAGTGTAGCAGATATTGGGTGACAGAAGCAGCTGGTGTATCACCCCAACTGGTACACGTCCTTTAACTCAAAAAAGTCTCTCCTTGTTTACAGACTCTGGATGGTCGAGCAGCGCACGACCTAGTGGCTCACCACGCACTAATGGGTGGGTGCGAGGGGGTGCGCTCGCCGCTAGAGATGGTGGTGTCAGCGTGCAGGCGGAGGGCGTGGGTGGTATTCCCCGCTCATCATGGCGACCTCCACTCTTACGTGCGGGTGCGGCGGCGGCTGCGGGAGGTGGAAGCCCAAAGGCTCTTTACTAAGGTAGCCGCCACCGTTGCCGCCTGCCACGACGCAGGACTTGTTCTCAGGGACCTTAAGTTACGAAAATTTGTCTTCACTGATCCAGACAGGTAAGGTACTCATCCAGTTGTGCTTACAAAGGTGTGTTACTTTTCATCTGTGTGTTGCTGCTGATAATGGCAGCCCATGTTGAGGTGCAGGCAGTTTGTGATGTGGTGGGAGTAATGACAACAGTTGTTGAAGTGGTATGGGTAATATGGTGACCAAATACTCTCCACGAGGCATCCGCCAAAGTCGCAGTCTCTACCACTACATCACCCAAATCTACACAGAGTTAAGTGGTTGTGAGGGTTAAGCTATTATACTGAGGAAGGGGGGTAGGATGGGTCCTTAACCAGTCTTACTCAAGGGAAGTAAACCTACTAACCATCTCTCCATAGCCCACGACTTTATTGCTGAGGGATGCAAGACAACCTCTTATTAATCACTTACTAAAACGACCTATTAATCACTTAATACTTTAACCTACCAGTTAGTGTTAAACTTTCTCCTCGCAGCATAGCACTTATTTACTTGACCTCCACTTTCATCCTTCAAAATAAAATCGAAGGAAATATGAGTAAGGAAAAGAAGATATATCAAGAGAATATAATCATGTACTTCACAATTGCAAAGTATGGAACATATGTGAAGTAAATATTATTGGATGCATTTCTTGTTACGAGGTCCTTTAGATTGAAATATTGTAAGCTATAGAGAGATGGTTATAAATTATCTGTTCAATTCTTACAGAACTGGGGATGACAAAAATAATTAACTAAACGAAAATTTACTGACTAAAAATCCAGTGGGGTTCACTTCAGTTTCCACTTCAGTTTCAACCACAGCAAAGGCTCGACTTCCTCATTCCCCTCAAGGGAGTTCCTTGATGCTGGTGAGGGTCTCTTGATCTAGGAAATTGGATCTGTGCTCCAGTTCCCTGAATTGAGCTTGAATGCCTTCCATCCCCCCCCCACAGACCCTGTATAATCCTACGGGTTTAGCGCCCCCCATGATTATAATAATTATAATACTCCCTCCTCATTGTTGCCTCGCAACCACCACCACTTTGCATGGCTGGCTCCTTTGTCCTTTCCCCCATACTGACTGGCTGTAGCTGAACTGGTGTGGGACAAGGAACTCCATGTATTACACCCTTCCATGGAAGCAACGAAACTCCCTCTCTACAGAAACAAATCTTAAAAACTAGCTGTTATAACACTGATACTGGCTTGCAACAGCACTTTCCTTCTCTCCCGAAAGAAAATAACAGAGGAGAATCTACAACTCGAGGGAGGTTCCTTGATTTCTATGATTGGCTCTTGATCCACAAATTTGTGAGCTAAGTTGTGGAAGGTATAGTGTGTTGGGTGTGGTCAACTAGGAGAACAGGTTTAGTGTGCGTGGTGGGGTCATATAGGAGGCAAAGCAGTCAGGGTGGGGTTGGGGACCGTGGCTGCTTGAGCACCACATTCCTTGCCCCCCATCACGGAATAAATAAGAATCTGCTGGGTGTTCCTAAGTGGTGACAGCAGCTGCTGCATCGCCACCGCCGCCGCCATCACTACCTCTTGTCAGGGACACACTGGTTCTGTTTCTTCTACTAGGAGGGTTAGGAGGGTGTCTTATGGTGAAGGATTCTTGATCTGAAGAATTAGAACTATCCTTCTTTTTCCCGGGCTTTATATGGCCCATGAATATAATTAGTGTTCATCATGATAATAAATTCAGATGATGAGCTCCAGCTTTTGGGCCTTTCTCTTAACAGGGTGTGTGTGTGTGTGTGTGTGTGTGTTGTGTGTGTGTGTGTGTGTGGGGAGAGGGCTTACAAGGACAAATGCCTCGGGAAGGTCAGCGTCTCGCCCTAGTCTGGCTGACTCGTGGACACTCCTCTCTCCACACACACTTCAATACTTCTCTGAATTCCTTCACAGTGAAAACAGCAGACGGACCGAAAAAGGGACGTCCTTCGTGTGTCCTTCCAACATAGCTACTCTCTCCCTCCTAGGGTCCAGTAACCCTCCCCCTTCTCTCTTCTCTCTCTTCTCTCTCCCTCTCTGAGCGGGTGTAACCGAAGAAGTAATGACACTAAGTGTGCTTGGAAGAATGAGTGCCAACATTGAGGAGGTTCGGGCAGGTCGTGTTGACTTTGTCAATCAAGGACTATTTGTTACGCACTGCAGTGACCATTTCTAACATATATGACTAGAAAATTGCTTATGTCATAAATAACTTTTTAATATATAATAATGTTAATATAGTTATTATCAACGTTATAAAAATTAATGTCTATTGTGTAGTAATCTTGAGGCAATTAACTAAAGCAACGTGGGAAATTAGTTGTCGCTTGCATCTTGTTATGTTCATTTGTCATCCAAGCAGAGATTTACCATATTTATATGATCTAATGAATTTACTGAAGTATTGTTGCCAGAAAATATTGGTTTACTCTTTGATTATCTACATTCAAATAGTTGGGAAGGTTAGAGCAGCGCTGTTCGTGAGCCACAGATTTTAGCGAATTTGATTTGTCAGAAATTTTGGGAAAGTTGTAACGGCTGCCTTGATATGATCCACTGAGTTTGCCGAAATGGATGATATAAAATGTTTGGGAAATTTGCCACGATTGCCTTATTATGATTCCTGGAATTTGGCAAAATTGTGTTGGCAGAAATGTTGGAAAAGGCTAAATCGGCGGCTGCCTTGACTCCTTGGTGTGAGTCACTGGTTGCGTGACGCAACGGACGCCACTTGGTTGTGACTTCACCAAGTGCAGTGTTTCCTGCTTTGTGAAATTCGTGGCTGCCACTGAAGGCCAAGGTGCACTCAAGCCCGTAAGCAAGACACTCTCTCTCTCTCTCTCTCTCTCTCTCTCTCTCTCTCTTCTCTCTTCTATCTCTACTCTACTTTTCTTTCTCTCTTCTCTTCTCTTCTCTTCTCTCTCTCTCTCTCTCTCTCCTCTCTCTCTCTCTCTCTCTCTCTCTCTCTCTCTCTCTCTCTCTCTCTCTCTCTCTCTCTCTCTCTCTCTCTCCACTGGCTTGGCTTTATTGCTCTTTGAAGATTAGTCTGGCTTACTGCGCCGATTACAGATCCTGGCATACAGGCTGGATACAGATTCCGAGTTACTGGCTGGATATAGAGCGTTTGGTTTACCTAACTACTTAAGCCTTCGTGTTGTAGCTATCTATCTCTTGCACTCTGTAGCAACCTCTCCTACCATTAAAGAAAACCTATTCAGCGCACTTAAAGAATACTTCTATACTTAAAATAGGGATTGTGACCTCAGTGTGTATACATCGAGAGCTATACACGTCGATGTATGTACTATATTATTACTTGTTCACTAACATCACGAATACTTAAATAGCCCATATAGGGATTAATGTAAACACTGTTGACTGTGGATACAGATGTGCACTTTGTGTATAAAATCCTGTGATCTCTTATCCTGTTTCCCTCTGTTCACTTTCCTCAAGGAAGGTTCCCAGATGTCGGTGAGGGGCTCTTGATCTAAGGAACTGGTCCTGTGTTCCCCCTATAAATATAATAATGCCTGACTTAATGGCTGTCAGTTCACGTCATGAGTCTTTTCTTGCATAAGTACCCACGAAGTGTATAAAATGAATGCGTTCCTCTCCCCCCATCGCGTGGTTAATTGAGTGTGCAGCTTAAGCGTGCAACTATATTGGCTCTTATGCTGATGACCCCACTTTGCACTCTTCATATTGCAGTCATGACCCTTTGCAACTCGCTCCATCTCGCAATTGCAATCCGGCTCTTCCGTTTGATTCAAATTTCATTTCTGTTCTGCATTTAAAACTTACTCTTCAATCTTATAAAGCGCAGTTTTAGGCTTATGTTCTATTGAATGAACATTACTGTCGTGGGTTGCTGATGGTTCTTGATCCAAGGAAGTGGAGTTACCCTCTCCTCTTTTTTTTCCTGATCAAACCTGATTGGCTTTCATTCTCAAACTCTGTATGATCCTTGTGGGCTTGGTACTCACCTAGTTGTACTCACCTAGTTGAGGTTGCGGGGGTCGAGTCCGAGCTCCTGGCCCCGCCTCTTCACTGATCGCTACTAGGTCACTCTCCCTGAGCCGTGAGCTTTATCAGGTGCTTCTCCATGAATGTTTCTGGTGTCTCCAGCAGACCTAGTGAGTCGCTTAAATGCTAGCTCTACAACCCTTAATACTATCGACCCTTAAGGGGCACGTAAGTGCCCCGTCTTCTAATAACATGCTCATTTTTTCCACTATAATTTAACTTGTTCATAATTACAATCGCATTTGCTTTGTTTCGTAAGGTGAATCCTAGTATCTTTCCTTTATTTATGGTATAACTTAAATCTTTGATGACAATTGTGTTGCAACACAAGCTGATTACCTCCAATTCTCCTACAGTTTTAGTTCCTCATAATGTAAAAATTCAGTCTTTTCCTTCTCTTTATCCTCGTTTGCTCAGACCTCCCCAACACAATTGTCATTAAAAGATTTGTTAAGTTATACCATGAATTAAAGAAAGATCCTAAGCTTCACCTTACGAAACAAAGGAAATGCGATAGTAATTATGGATCAGGTAGATTATAGTGGAAAAATGAACATGTTATTAAAAGACGGGGGAACAAACGTACCCTTAATACAAATATACCCTTTATACAACTAGACCTTAATACAAACTGTCTCGTGAAAGATTACTTTGATCCGCACGAATTTTACTCCTACTCAGCCCAATTTATCCAAGGGAATTTCTTCGTATTACATTAAGTATATAGATACTGCATATTATATTTCGTGGCTTATTAGACTCATTTTTTCCATAAAATGTCTCCAAAAACCACCCTGCGTCCTATAACCTGAAGGTCAGTGACGGGAACTATAAGTTTCGGGTGTGGGGTGTGCTGTAGCTCTCCCAGTTACGTCCGATGCGGAGCCATTGAAACCAAAATAAGTCTTATAAGTCGCGTCATATAAGCCGCGAATTACGGTACGTAGTTTTCATGTTACACAAAATCTGACTTAATGAACTACCATGATGTAACTGTAAGCTTTGAACTACACTAATACTACACG